TGCAACCGATAATAATTATTTTTATGGAGTCTAGTCTGTGTCTAGACGATTTTTTTTCTGCCTTTGCTGGTGCTGGTGCTGCTTACTGCTAACTTCGCTTGCTTTCGACCTGGCTAGTGTCTGCCCCTGCCGCTGCCCCCCAGCCGACTGTCTCTTTCTCGGCCCGTCTAGCCATCTCTCTCCGTTTACGGCCTTCCTGCCGGCCCAACTCCCCTCACTAAATGCTCTGTTAAAGCTACTGTGTCATTGTTTTCGCTTTGATTCCGATTTTAACTGGTAAACTGGCATTTAACTGTTTTTCTGTTGCTGTTTGACAAACAAGGCAGACAGACTGGCGGGGGGGCACTGGGTCTGGGTGGGGATGGGGGAGGGGCATGTCACGGCAGAAATGGCAGAGACTGGGTGGCACTGGGGGAACTGGGAGGCAAGGAGCCAGGCGGCGACTGCAATGAGATAGTGAACGTGAGCGAGGCATGACAGACTCCCAACTAAATGCCGCAACCGAAATGGACACAAAAGACAGTCGTTGCAAGGGGGTTGGGAAAGGGGGAGGCGACAGGACGCGGAGGAGGGGTGTGGCAGGTATGGGGGCAGGCATTGTGGGGGGAGACAAGTCAACCAGCCAGCCAAACATGCGGAAAAGTCAAGCCATCTCAGCCAATGGCAAGCATTGGACAGTGATCTTCAATATAAATTTTACAGAATATTATATCATTAATAATTATAAGTAATTAAATACATTAAAAATATTTATACAAGATAAAATATTTAAAATTTGAATAAATTATAATTCTATCAGCTTCAATAATACTTGTAGATCTTAGTGTCAGTAGTATTAGTAGTATATTAACTTTCGAAAAACGTATGACTAGATGACTAGACTATATTTAAATAATATTATTGATAATATTTTATGATATATTAAAGCCATATTTATTTTCTCTTAATGTACTATATAATTTTATAATACGAAAAGGCTTAAATAAAATAATTAAAATTTAAAAAAATATTAAGACCCTAGTGGTTTTAAAATAACTCTTAGAATCAGTATAATATTACTTTGAATCTTAAGGATCTTAATGTCTTACATTTATAATACCCCAAACTATCAATCAATGTTATCAATGGTTTCTAACAATATATAAAATAATAAATACCTAAGTCGATTTTAAAGATAATTATTTACTAAAACAGGTACTGCTTGATGTACTTGTATAGAACCCCAGTATAGTCCAATAACTATGGTTATGGCTCTATTCCAGTCACTGTACTCCATTCATGTAGCTATGCCCTGAATTTTATTTTGTTGCTTAAGCCTAGTACTGAGTTGACGAAAATCCGCTCTTCGAAATCTGACAGCTGTCAAACTCCATATAAAAAAAACGGTATAAAAAAAAAAAGAAGAAGAATTTTTGGTCTTCTAAATATTTTGGGTACTGAGTTGACGAAAAATTTTAGGTCTTCGATTGAATGGCGTTGCCGGATCAAAAAAAATAAACAGCTGATTTTGGGTCTTGAAATAAATCATTTTATTTATTCGAAGAGCTAAAACATGGAGGGAAAATCGATGAAAGGAAAAAATAATCGGACTGAAAAATTTTCGACGCGCGAGGATAAAAGGAAATTAATTAGTGCGGTCAGGGCGAAGCCCATAATATAGGATTTGACCCGCAAGGAGCATTTTAATTCCATAAAATGGCATTGAAATGATTTGTGATTGATTTTTATTTTGATTTTGACCCAGTTTTCTATTTCTTAATCAGCTCCTTAGGGCCGAAATACATAAACAAAACACCAAAATCCAATTGATTTGAATTCATATTTGCTTATTGTTCTTTTGTTTACAAACAACAGCTGTTCAGTATTACCCTATTTCTTAATTTTGTTGGTCACACTAGCTCGGTAGTCGAATAAAGTGCAATTTGACAAGCGGAATTTCAAGAGCGGATTTTCGTCAACCCAGTACTAGGCTTTATTTTGCTGACGGCGCTCCATCAAATGCATTTAGCTTTTCGCATCGTTGGGCATGAGAAAAATGTCACCTCCACAGCCTCGGAGAAAAGGAGAAAACGGCTAGCGAGACGGAGACAATTGTCTGGGGCTGTCCGCTCGTCAGTTGGCGTTCTGTTGCCTTTTTTGGGTTGGCTGGCCGGGGGCAGGGGGACTGTGGCGAGGCTAGAAGAATATGTCTCTCGACACCTTTTTTTTTGCCGGAACCTTTGTTGCAGCTTGCAGCTGCTGCCCCAAGATATTATGTTATTATGGCAATTATAGCTACACGACTTTGGCGGCATCTATGGCATTTTCGGACCGACGACAGCTTGGCATGTCTCACTTGGAGCCCCCTTCGCGGTTACCTTTCGGTGTCTGCGAGTACTATGTGTAGTATATCCCAGATTCCAGGAGATAAGAGAAAGGCAGGCTGCTCGCTGCGCTGACTGCATTGCAATTACAAACATTTTAATGCAATTAACACACACCTGAGACAGGCGGGAGCTGCAGCGTCAGAGGGTCGCCGTCTCATTTGCCTGCCTCGACGACTCCATGACTGCTCCACCACGACTCTGTGCAATCCGAAACTTCTCGGCCCAAAAAAAGAAGCAACAACTGCAACAAAATAAGCAACTTCAAAAGCCGAAAGGCGACATTCGGTGCGTGTGTCAGTTTCCTGGGCCAATCTCTTGATGACGCCGCCACCACCGCCACCGCCACCGCTGCAGCTCCAGCCCCATTCTCCATATCCAGCCTTTCCCTTGTGCACCTTATCTGCAAGGTTTTCCTTCTACCCTATAGGTAGAGTCTTGCAGGATTCTCAAGGAATATTCTAATTCCTTAAATTAATAATTTAAATGTAATTATTCTAACTGATAAAAGAAGTGCACATTTTCTAATCTTAGCCTTAGATCTTTCAGATCTTTATGAGACCCTATAGTTCCGAAAGAGTACCTCCATCTTCGCCTTGAATCTTGGCTATCTTGGCCTCTTGATTTGCCGCTCCAGTTGCTATCAGTGGCTGTGGCGGAGCGGCAGATACTCAAAACGTTGTCGTCGTCATCGTAGCCGTCGTCGGCTTTTGTAGTTGCCGCCTGGAGCTGCACTTACATGTGAAAGGTGGGAATGGACTCGTCCCGGCGAGGGGATGAGTCCGAGGAGGGACAGGGGACTCCCTTAATGCCATGTCCAGCAAATCGCTTTGACCATAACCCCACCAGCAAACGAGCACAATCAGTTTGCGCTTCATTTCATCGGTTTAATATGCAGGAAAAAAATTGTTTGTCTTTATTATCGCAGGGGGAAAAAAAAGAGACACATCCTGGCCAGGAGTGGTATGCACACCCCTTCAGGTTGCAACTGTCGCCAGCGGCTTTCGAGGCCTCTGATCATCTTCTGCGGCTTCCATCCCGCTTTTGCATTGTCTTTGGGGTTCGGGTTCGAGTTCTGGGTCCTGGGTCTGGGTATCGATTCACGTCAGGGCTCTGACGTCGCGACGTCAGCCAGACGCCGTTCAATAATATTCAAATCGCCAGCCAAATCCAAAATCCAAATTTCCGCCAAAAAAACAATGGTAAGAAACAGGGTTTTTGGCCAAGAGAAAATTTTAGATACACTATAAATCTTAGAAATAAAATAAAGTGATTCCATAAAAAAATATTAAATATTCTTGAGTTTCTTACACCTTCTTAGAAATCTCTTATATTATTTCTTAAAACTAGTTTTATTTCAAAACCCCTTTATTTAGGCCATATACCCCACAAGCTTTAGAGCCAAGAGTAGCTACATAGAAAGCAAAAGCAAAATGAGGCAATAATACATTTTATGGAGCTCTCGTCTAGACATTCGGCAATGCCGCCAGTGACGAAAGCATTTTGGATATCGAAATCGCAGCCCCCCGATAAAGTAAAGCCCCGAGAACAAAGCCACGTAAATATACATATAAAAAAAAAAGTAGAAAGGAAAAAAACCGAAAAACAGCAACCGAAATGCGCGTTATCAATGTAATCAAATGATATTGATTATTCACTTTTGTGTCTGACTGGCTGACTGGCCGACTGACTACCTGCCTGCCCAATGCCAATGGCAATGCTAAATGTTAATGTTCTTTCCCGGTCGGTCTGCTTTCTGTCTGGCAGCCCCTCGGTCTGTGGCATTTGGGCAGAATTAATGGCAAATCATTTATAATCCGACAGACAAACAGTTGAAGCCACAAAGCTTCCACCTTGACCATCGGCATCTTGAACAGACTCGTATATATGTTTGCACGTACCTGGTCGTGGCTACATATTGACGTGTATTACGCAATCCGTTAAAGATTGGCTCAGCCAGGGGCTTGGGGGATTGGGGAATCAAGGAACTTAGTCGAGCGATTAGCTTCCGTGTCGGTGACTGGCTCTGGATGACTTGCCATCCTTGGCAGCCCTGGGATTTTGCTAATCGGCAAGGTGAGAGTGCTTGTAGGTAGCCAGAATTTGTATTCTAGGTCATTAGGGAAGCAAACCAAGCAGAAACGACGGGGCTATGTGATACCTGGTACTTAGACTGCTAACTTTTTTTATAGCATACTTTTAGTGATTTTTTTTTGGCGTTTGGCAGGGTTACTTTATTAATAATTTGATAAGTTTCCTTCAAATATAATATACCCTCGTATTTTACAAATACCAGGTATAAAAACATTTCAGTTGCTCCAGAAAACCTTTGGGGATCTGAGTAGGGAGTCGGTGTCGTCAGGCAGCCAAAGGCATGCCAGGGAATATGTTTAATTTATTATTAATGGACGGGTCCCACCTCCAACTTTAGCACACTTTTTTGATGAATTATTTCGTGTTATGCTTTTGGAAGTTCCTGGAATCACCATGTACACTCTCACTTATTTATGAATCCAAGTTAAATGAAAAAGAAGACAAATTTAATTTAGAAAAGACCTCAGCATTTTAACGCAGAAATATATTATCACAAATTGTGGATTAAAATTTAATAAACGCAAAGTAAATCTGAATGAAATTTCATTTTTCGGAGATCCTGAAGTATATTTTCACCGAAGAACGTGGAACTTTGTTAGTAATCCATTCGGTGAAAATGGCAAAGTCTCCATTTCTTATGGGGACATATGTGGCGAATCCCTTTTCGAGGTTACCAGTCCACAATTTATCCACTAAAATGTCATGCTAAATAAATGTTAATGAGTATATTATTTATACAAATATTTCAAGCTTTAAAGAACTTACATTATAAGGACACGAGTGATTCATATTTGAACTATTCCTAAACGTGTTGTAGAAAAGCCGAGCCAGTGGATTATTGTTATCCTTCAAAAACTTACAAGCATCGTATGATAAATCGAAAAACACGGGCTTGTAACCATTATCAAAACGCATAAATTTTACCTTTAACTACAAAAAATATATTTATGTTTTTGAACAGAAGAATTCTTACCCAAACATCGTTTATTGGCAATTTAAATAGTTTCACGTTTATATTCAAGTACTTGTGGGATCGATTAACTGCCTTTATCTGGCAAGTTGGAAAAATACTATATTTCACATTATACGAATGGCACTTCAGATTAGTAAATGTCACATGACTCATGCACATCTAAATATATAATAGAGTATAGCTTTAGTCTCCGTCTTGAATGATACGTTTGAATTACCGTTTGCAGAGCTATCCAACATCCCAAAACTAACCACTTCCACATTTCGATTGAAACTGTTTTTCGAACATTATCTAACGGTCAAATATTATCTGAATCGATTTCTTTTTTAATCGTTTGGCTATTAAGTCAGTCAACATCCGTAAAACCTTTTGTTTTGGCCATTTAAACACTGAAACAACTGAAATCATGAAACAATCATTGGCACGAAACAATCAGGGCATACTTTACAGGACTCTTTAGATATTATCCAATTTTTAATTTGAAATTTTAAAATTTTATTTTACAATAAAACAATAAGATCTTATCAAACAAATTAAAAGGTATTTGTAGACACGTGAATATAAACACTCGGTACTTTTCCTCACTCTACTCAAGTTATATATTTTCATGATTTTTTTATAAAACATATTTTAATATTAATATACGAGCCATAGTTGTCACATGTTACGATTTTTGTATTTGTTTTGATTAAATATCCTTTGGTCTCCCTGAAAGCCTAGCATATATGTTTAAAAATCCTATACGATGCTTATTTGTATAAACGGTTGTTTCGACTACGTAATCACCATTAATGATTGGAATATACTTTGAAATTCCTGATTCAATGTTGCCGGTCCACACATGGTCCACAATAATATCATGCTTTAAAATACATAGGTTATATAAAAATACGCAATATATTCTTAAATACCTACGTCAATAGGACAAGTATGATTTACGTTTGAATTATCCTTGTAGACATCGTAGAAGAATTTAATAATCGGATTTTGTTGGTTCTTGAGGAACTGGCAGCAATCGAAGGTCATGTCTATAAAAAATGGCTTGTATCCCTGATCGTAACGCAAAAGCTTAAGATTCATCTGGAAAGTAGACTTGGATTGATTTGATATGAAAGATATTATCTATACTTACAGCCATATTATCAAGAGGCTTATGAAGTTTTACATAAACGTCCACATACTTGTGAGTTCGGTTCACTGCTTTGATATAACACTTTTCGAATTCAGCCACTTTCCTGTTATTTGTGCCACATTTTAAGTTGGTAAAAGTCACATGGGAGAAAATTAACTAGCACCAGAGTTAATAAATATTTATACTTTTTTTTAATTTAAAGTTTCTCACCGATAGCCACTCCAATATAATGAGAACATGCAGAACTTTTCGCATAGTGAAGCTTGGAAGTTATGCTTTCAAGTGGACTTGAAATACCAACATTCACAAAATCGTAACAGTAATTATATAGTCATCAGTGACTGTGAAATCGATAGCCAATTAAAGGGCGACTAAATCATTCCAAAAGATTATCAAACAAAAATCAGACAATAATAGACCAATATTTAAAAATGGTTAGTAAAATTTAAGACTTTAGAGGAAGCAACAATAAAATAAAATATAGTTTGACTATAATATAATTCATTTTATTTTTATTTTCATGATAATCTAAAATATATGTTTATGAAAGAACGAAGAATATTATTCGAGTACCATAGTGTATCCACAGAATAGTCCCCATTAACAATTGGAATATATTTCGTGAATTGTTCTTCGATGTTGCCAGTCCAGAAATGGTCCAACTTAAGGTCGTGCTTCAGAAATTTAATCATTAATTTAATGGAAGAATTACTTGAAGTAATGTACTTACATCGTAGGGACAGGTATGGTTTAGATTGGAACTATCCCTGAATGCGTTGTAGAAGAGTCTAACGACCGGATGCTTTTGGTTTTTGAGGAACTTGCAGGCATCAAAGCTCACATTTATAAAAAATGGCTTATAGCCATGGTCGTAGCGCATTATTTTGATATTCATCTAAAACAGTTTTTAATATTATTGATATTTTCTACCAATTCTGAACTTACCGAGACATCATTCACTGGAATTTGTAGCAGCCTTGCGTAGACATCGATGTATTTGTGAGATCGATTGAACGCCTTGATGTAACACCTTTGAAATTCGACGAATCGCCTGTCCATAGAGCCACATTTAAGGTTTGTGAAGGATACATGGCTATATATGTCCTGCGAGTATAATTGGAATGGCTGTACATTTTTTATATAATAATTTCAATGCATACCCTTGGTGAAGCCAAAAAAATAAAAATCCCAAAAATTATTTGCATGATGATCCACAACGCAATCAAGACTGGTGCCACAATTTCGAAAAATAAGCAGTTAATGGGGTTTTAAATGGGGCCTGCTGTCATCAACGACTGGAAAGATTATCTGAAAATATTGAAACGCTTTGCTGACTATAAGTGCAGATCAGTTCACGCCTCCATTTTCTATTATTGAAATAATACATATTTTAGAGTGAACTTACTATAAAACTACTTCCTTAGATACATTTATTTGCTCTATTTATTTGTTATTTTAAAGTACACATTAACATTGGCTCGAGGAATATTGTAGGTGTACCATTTTCCATAAATCGCATAGTCTCCGTTGGGGACGGGTAGGTACTTTAAAAATCCTTTTTCAAGATTACCAGTCCACATTTTGTCGACCATCAAATCATGCTAAGTGTAAATATATATAATAAAATTTTAAAAATATTTTCAACATTATTATACTCACGTTGTAGGGACAAGTATGGTTCATGTTAGAAACATTTGCAATTGTTGCATGTAACTCTCTCACAAAAAGCATGGATCGGAGCCGGGGATTACTGAGATATTTGCAGGCATCGAATTTCATGCCAAGTAAAAAGGGTTTATAGCCGTTGTTATAATGCATGGGTTCCAATTGAATCTGAACGCTATAGAGTTAGTTCCTGCTTTTAACCAGACTCCCAACTCACCGAAATATTATCAATGGGAATTTTAAACAACTTGGCATAAACATCGATGTACTTGTGGGTTCGGTTAACCGCTCTGATATAACACCTTTCAAATTTTCCATACTTCCTGTCCAACATTTCGCACTTCAAATTGGTAAAACTCACATAACAGTATGTGCTCTTAATTGGGTAAATATTTTATAATTTTTTTTTTATGTTATAATTTGGGAATTCCTTACTGCGACAAGGGAGCCTAAAAGCAACACTTTTGACCACATTTTCTAAGCGCTTTTGAAAACTGAAACTCTGGAAATAAATTGAGAGTACATATAGGTTAACATTAAGCTTTTATGACTCTTGAATTATTAGTTCGGTTAATAAGTTGAGATAAGAATCGATTATACCGATTAATTTTATTTTAAAACATCATTTATAATAGTATTATCCGGTGTGACAATAGATTATTCTTTTTGGTGTCATAGAACACTTTTTTGTTCAGAAAATTAAACATTTTCGTACACATCCATAAAAATTTTCAATTTGCATATTTTTCAACTTCACCGATTGAAATAAATTACAAAAAAAACTGAAAGAGAGTTCCCAAAAACAAGATGACTTGACGGAGGTCTGGCCAAGAAGTTGAAAATGGAAATAAAACTGGCCAGAAGTAGCCCCATGCCGCTGGCCCCTGGACCCTGGTCCCTGGCCCGGAACAAAACAAAACAACAATAACACACTCCAGACAAAAAGAATTTTATTGGCCTTCACTTAACGCTCATAAATTTGTCTGCTGCGAAATTTGCGAGTCGAGACGAGACGAGACGAGTGGAGGCCCAGAATGCTGAGGCAACAAAAATGAAAAGAATATTGTTTATAGTGCCACGCTTCCGCAGTTGTCTGGATGGAGAACTGGTTCGACAATATGCACTTCTGAGGCGAGAGACGTTTTGTAAAAATTTCCCATTAAAATATTGTTGCAGAAACCACACTCGGGGCCGGGATCCCACCCATTTCTTGTTGGCTGCTGCACAGCCAGTTGCCCCGGGTGAGTGCCGAACTTCACGCACAAATCTGATTAAAACTTGGTCCCAGTTAATGAACCAAGACTCTGACTTTGACTCTGGCTAAGTCCAACTACTGCTGCAACTCTCCAGACTGAGGCTGGAGCTGGCAAAGTAAAATGGGATAAGATGGGCTGCAGCCAGACAGTCAAACGGGCAGACGGACAACCAGATAGGCGTCTAAAAATAGCCAACAGAACCACATGTTGGTCAAGTTTTTACTCCTTCTGGCAAGATATAATACCCTATCCGAGACGGGGATTAGAACATTCATAAGTTATGTTATATTTTAGAGATTGGTCTTATTATTCCTATTTTCTAGATCTTTAATTTAAGTTATAGTAGTGTCTTATAAAGAATAGTACATCTAAATCTTCGGCTATGACTTTTAGTTTCCAGCTCCCCAACTTTTTGTTTCCTTTCGCCTAGCAAATGTTACCCACATCTGTCTCCGGCAACAGTCGCTGTAAGAGGCCCCCTCACAACCCGGGGCTTTCTGGGACCAAGGGTCCCTATGCACTCGCACTCGCCGGTGCAATAGCAACCATCTTTTAATAAATGCGAACGTGATCGCGTTTCGTGCGTCACTGCCTGGCCCCGGCCCGGCCAGACAACTCGCACAAACACAGGCACTGGCGAAAATACCCGACTCTGGCGAGGCGTTGCACCTTTGCCAAAGGTGCATTGATCGGGATTGGGATCGCTGTCTGGGCAGGTTTCTCCTCCTTCAGCTCCACGGGATGATGGTGGTGCTCCTCCTTCCTGCTACTTTTTTCTTTCGCTGCTGTTGTCTCGGCCATTGGCTGCGCTTATTTTGTGTACTTATTCTTTTTTTGTTGCATTTTTTTTGTAATTTTTTGTAAAGCGAAATTATTATTGTATTATGCACGCGTATACCCAGGCCAAGTATCTGGAGACAGAGCCTCTTTCCCCCACCCTGTTTCTTTGCATTTTTTCTCATTTTTTGTTAACGACGCGTGCGTCGAGAGCCGAAAGTGCGTTCAATGAACGCAGCGCGGAGCAACGATCGGGAGTGGGAATGGGTATGGGTATGGGATTTGGAATGAGTATGGCCAGACGATAATGCCGGACATCGGCTGGTAATGGAGGTAATGGAGGGCGGGCGATTCAGGGCTGACTCAGTGCGAATATATTCCGAAGCCCTTGAAGGTGAGTAGCCCTCATCATAACTGGCTGGCTGATCAGGTTTGCAAAAACATGGTTCCAAGACTAGAAAGAATTTAAATTATTTTATAAGAAAATTAAATAAAAATAAGTTGGTTTCTTATTTGCATTTTCATATTTTATTAAAATTTTTAAATATAAGAGAGACTATTAAAATTTAATACTTTTCTTATAAGTTCTTGGGGATAAACAGGGCAATGGTGGACAATAATCTAGTAGATTTAAAATACAATAATATATAATGGTAAAAAATCGATATAAAATAATAAGAATTAATACAACCAGATAAAAAAGACTTTAAAGACCATAAAAGCTAGGGGGTTTAAGCTTCAAGAGACAATATGGACTAAATATTAATATAAGTATTTAATCAAGATGCTATAAATATTCTCACCTATTAAAAGGATGAACCTTAATATTCCAAGTAAATTCAAGTAAAAAATAATTATAAAACAACTGCATAATGCATTTTTTTATATACTAAAGATTATGTTTACTTAATCAAACACCCATTAATGATTTCATTTAAACGAGAATTGCCACAACACGTGCGTTTGAATTTTTACTGGCAGTTGCTGGCGATATTGCAATCTGAGGGCAATTGCAGTTCATCGGCCACACTCAGACAGAGACGACTGGATGCAAAAGCCCCTGATTGCGAATCGAGTCGATGAATGGGCCTGACAATTCGCGATTACACTTAGTCAGTATCACAGTCACAGTCATCGTCAGAATAAGCAAAAAAAAAAAAAACAGCCCGAAACCAAAGCTAAAGCCAAAGCCAGATACTTTCCCCCACAGCGGTGTCCACAAATCAGTAAATGAAATTAACTCGCTTTCAATCGAGAAACGTATAAACACTGTCTGATGGCACCAATCGTGCGCCCCGATGAGGAGGCTAGTCGCCGCCGATAATAATAAACCAATAAAATTAATACAAATTGCAGTTGTTGTGTGTGGGGTGTGTGGTGTTGCGGCTCGATTGGCGCGACACACTTCATTGGTTTGCTCTTTTGCTGCTCTTCAGCTTCGCTTTAGCTTGACATTATTTTTTATTTATTTTTATTTTTTCCTTTTTTGTTTGCCTTTTATTACGCACATATTTATTTAATGCAGGTCTGGCTGTCTAGAGAATTCCCCCCTCAGTGTCTCCGGTGCGCCCCGATGCGCCATCGCTTTTGCCATCCTGTCTGTCATGTGTGTGTCTGCCTCGTTGCGTGTTTGTTTGTTTATTTTATTGTTTGCCCTTGTTTTGTTGCTGCCACCGCCTGCAGCAGTCGTCTGTCTGGATGAACAAGGCTCGCATGGAGTGCTTCAGGAATTTAAGGTATTCTCAAGCCCCAAAACTGCAAATGCTAATCCCTTAATTGTTTCATTTTAAAATAATATCTTGGAGTTCACATGAGTTATTTGGGAGTTATTCAATTTTAAAAGTAAATTATATTGTAATAGTCTTCAATTTTAGCTTCCCTTTTCTTCAAAAGATAACCCCCATTTATATTCCATTTATAAGGACTACCCACAAACACGCTACTTCCCGCCCAAGGATCTCTTCCGAGTTAAATTGAAATCAAACAATTTAGCATAAATGGGCAAAAATGTCTAAAGCTGTCATCAAACACATTTCTTATTTTGTCATTTATTTTCAAGGCATATTAAAATAAATACCATGAATGAAAATACACAAGCTCATGCAAATAGAATAGAAAAAAAAAAACGGAAAAAGAATAAAACATGAGCCCAAAAATATCTAGGATCCCTTTTTTGAGTGAGGACACGTGCTATTTGCTTAGGAGGCAAGAACGCATTTTTGTGGCATAACTTTCGACGAATTCCGGCCTGAGCTTTCCCGAGCCCAAAATTTAACGTCATCAACGAGAACGAGGGAAACACGTTGCGTATGCTTTATTTTGTTGGCCATACAAACACATTACGTATACGCCACCGTCTCTGTGTCTGCAGACCGGGAGAGGGAGCGCGATGTGGAAATGGCGAAAGAGCTTAAATATGCGTAGGCTGTATACATACTTGTGTATGTATGTACTTTGTATATGTACAAACTTTGCTGTGTGTCCTTGAGCCTGTTCCCAGCACCTTTCCAACGCTTTCCGCATTGTGGGCACTTCAAGTTTATCAGCTGCGTTCAGCTCCCAATTGTTTGCCTTCACAGTTCTACAGTGAGAAAAATAGCACAAAACTTAAATAAATATTTTAAATTATATTTAAACTATAAGATACCCGACCCATCATCTACTTGTGTTGCCAACAAATGTTGCTCAACATTGTTGCTTGCAACATAATAATTAGAAGCATACTTTTAAGCGCCTTGGCTGGGTATTGGGTATTAATATTCATACAGAGAAAATAATATATTTTTTATTTTAGTGGACCCTTTTTTTTTATCTCCCTACTCCCCCCCCTTACCCCACCTACCCATCATCTTTTCAGGCGCAGCTTAACGCGTTTGAAGCGCATATCCTGCGTCGTCATCCTCGCTTATGCGTAGTTAGTTGTCTGCCGCTTTTGTGGCCTAAGCTTTTATTTTATGGTGCCACCCACCTCATTGAGCCCACCCACTTCTGGCTCCTTGTTAATCCCATACTTGTTGTGTCTGGGCCTGCCCAAATGCCGATGCCGATGCCGCAACAACACAACCACGCACACACAGACAGGTCGAATAAAGCGGTGGAAAGAGAGGGCCGGCGGTAGAGAGAGAAAGCAATAGAGACCTAGAGGCGGGACACCCCAAAGCCTCCCGAGTAACGTAATTTTGTGGAATTCCATGGAAAATAAGGTAGATTACAGTCACGCTATCAATGCTCTGGAGCTATGGGTAATGGAGTATATTTTCTATAAAATATTTAGGGAAATCCCACCTGTACGATAGTTCTAGTTCTCGAATACAAGTCTATAAAAAAAATAATTATCTTTTTAAGTAAGCAGCTTTTTAAGTTCTATGGAGTATTATTTCAAAGAATTTTTAATGGCTGGTTATACTTTAAAAATTATCATTATATTTTAAAGAAATATACAACCTTTTACCCTTTAAAATCTAGACTTCTTATATTAAAATAACCTACAAAATATTAGATGCCCTTGAATAGTGTGAAAAGTTCCTCCTAAAATTAGAGCATTCATCAAACGAATGCTGGCCATTACTTTTTGTGGCAAAAATGTTTGCTGGCGTATTTAGTCTGCGGATCTTGAAGGTTAAATATATGTAAGCACACCTTTCGTATGTCCCATGGGTATTATGCAGTCGCCTGGTCTTGTTGTTCTGGTTGTTGTTGTGTCCCGCACTTACCAGACCCCCGCCCAGTGCCGCCCAGTGACCGCCCCCGCAACACAGCCCCCTTTGGGGCTGTCTGTCTGCGCGGCTGCCTGCCAGGTTGTCTGGCACTTTTTGACTTGTTTGCCAAATGGCGTACAAGATATTTATGCATATTAAAACAATTTGCTTATTATGCCTGAATAATTGAGTGCACAGCAGCAGCCCGACGACGGCTACAGAATCTGTATCTCGCATCTAAATCTAAAGCCGGGCCCAAGCTAGGGATGGTCGGAGGTGCTAAACGGGTCGGCTACGTAATATTTGCCTCGCATTACATTTGACAAAAGTCTCAGTACAGGTCTAGTGCGATAGTACGTCAACGTCTAGGTCTACGCCGATGTCTGGATGGCGACATCGAAGCGCAAACTTCAACAAAGCGTTAATTAATACTCGCAAATGTTTGCGCTTCGTCTGGCAATAAAAAAGTTAAGCGAGACAACGGGCCAGGGCAAATACGCCCCTCACTCCCCGGGCTTCCACCCTTTTTTGGCGGTACCAGCAAGAGTCAGTCGCAAAAAAATATATATATATATAGGTATGTCAGTACATATATAAAATACAGATAGGGAACAAAGTCTCGTCATAAGTCAAATAAAAAGCGCAGCGCCGGCAACTGTGTCGGAAGTGGTGGAGTCATCCAGTGAATAGGCGCGCACACAATTTTCCGCTGCTCGCGAAATTATTGTGGGCCAGATAAGCGCAGACAGGTGAGAGGTAGGGGGGGTGGGCTGGCTGGCTTGCTGGCAGGTGAGCCAGGTGAACACGGTTGAATTAGTGGCACAGCATCAGCAGCGGTAGTGGCAGTGGCGGAAGCCGAAGTTACTGTTACATTAGCAACACAATGTAAAGATCTCGTGGCTTGTGTTTGACAACTTAATAGTCACGAGATGTTTAGACGTTGTTCCAGCCAGGCTAAGTTAGCCAGTTAGTTTTGCATATGAAAAGGGGCTATAATGGGGGGCTTTGTGGGGATTAGATATTAGCAGTAGCTGTGGACTATTAGTTTCCAACAAGTTGCCACCTTTAGCTTCAATTTTTATTCAACAAATGCCACTTAATCTCAAGTCTTTTGTGGATTCTTTATTTTCTTACTTCCAAGTACAGTCGCAGTCGCAGTGGGAATCGCAGTCAGGTCAGCCAGCAGCCAGTCCAGGCGATCTGCCTGCCACTCGCAACAAATTTTTATTTGACGGCATCAATCAGTCTCCGTCCCGAGTGCCCCTCGACGTTGCCGTCTGGTCTGGCTTTTGGTCCCTTTTGTTGCCCCAAAAGCGATCCAAAGTG